TGGTGCATTCGGCGGAGCTCCCTGCGAGGACACGGAAAGCGTGAGGGGCGCGCCGAAGTGGGTGCGGCGGTGTCACGCGGGCCTCTCGCTCGGACCTTCTGGCGGCGCTCCCTGCGGGGTTACGGAACGTGTGAACGGAGCGCGTCGCAGTGGGTGCGGCGTTGGCACACAAGCCCTCCTTCGGCGCAGATCCCAGATCCAGCAGATTCCAAGTGGACCCTTTATTGGAATCGTACTAGACTCTAATTAAAATTGAGCACATCCCAGATCCAGATGTGTCACATGTATTCCTGTTATTAGAAAGAGCAGATCCCAAATACAGCTGGTCCCACTCAGATTCCAACACGAGACAACAGCAGATAAATGACGAGCATAAAAGATATATGAACAGACGCGGATGGAAAAACGGCGCGTGGCGAGTGAAAGTACGAATGCAGAGCTCAAAAACCGATGCAACCTGAATGGATGCTGGATGGGCTGCGCAGATACATATATATACACACACGAACATATATACATACATCAATACATCCATCCATACATCCATCCATCCATCCATACATACATACATACATACATACATACACATACATACTTACATCCATACATCCAGCCATCCACCCATACATCCATACATACATATATGCATGCATGCATGCATACATACGTACATACATGCATGCATGCATGCATAAATACATACATACGTACGTGCATACATGCATGCACGCATACATACCTACCTACCTACCTACATACATACATGCATGCATACACACACATACATACATACATACATACATACATACATACATACATACATACATATATACATACATGCATGCATACAAACATACATACACACCTACGTACATACATACATACATAACTACATACATACATACATACATATATACATACATGCATGCATGCATGCATACATATATATATATATACATACATACATACATACATACATACATACATGCATGCATACATACATACATACATGCATACATGCATACACACATACATACATACATCCATACATACATACATATATTACATACATACATACATACAGACATACAGACAGACAGACAGACAGCCAGACAGACAGACAGACATACATACATACATACATACATACATAGATATATACATACATGCATGCATGCATGCGTGCGTGCGTGCATACATACATACATACATACATACATACATACATACATGCATACATGCATACATATATACATACATGCATGCATGCATGCATGCATGCATGCATGCATGCATGCATGCATGCATGCATGCATGCATACATACATACATACATACATACATACATACATACATAACCAACCCACCCCCCTCCGGAAAACTGGGGGGGGGTCACTACCGGTTTGGCCCCCTCCCCCCCCAAGAAAACTGGGGAGGGTGGCTACTGGTTCGAACCTCTGCCCCCCCCCCAGAAAACCAGAGAGGGGTCACTACCGGCTCGAACCCCCCCCCCTCTCCAAAACTGGGAGGGGTCAGTACCGGTTCGAAGCAAGCCCCTCCCCCCCTCATCGAAAGCCGGGGGGGTCACTACTACCGGTTCGAACCCCTCCCCCCCCCGCCCGCTCACCGCCAGCAAACAACTCTGGGTCCCTACCACCGTCCGCACCACACCCCCCACTGCTGTCCCCAGCACCACTGTCCTCACCACCACTGTCCCCACTGTTACCACCACCGTCACCACTGTCCTCACCAGTGCCCCCACCACTGTCGCAGTGTCCCCACCACTGTTCCCACCACGGTTCCACTCCCCACTTTCTCCACGGCCCACACCACTGTCCCACTGTCCCCACTGTCCCACTGTCCCACTGTCCCACTGTCCCACTGTCCCCGCCGCTGTCCCACTGAGCTGTCCCACTGTTCCCACCACTGTCCCCACTGTCCCCACCACTGTCCCAACTGCACCTCTGTCCCATTATCTCACCGCCGTCCTCGCCACCGCCCTCACCACTGTCGCCACCACCACTGTACCCTCCACTGTCCCACTGTTTCCACCACATTCCCACTGTCCCCACACCACTGCCCCCACCACCACCGTCCCCACCACTGTCGCACTGTCCCCACTGTTCCCACCATTGTCCCCGCTGTCCCCACCAGTGCCCCCAACAGTGTCTCACTGTCCCCACTCTGTACTACTGTCCCACCACTGTCCTCACCACCGCCTTCACCACTGTCCCCACCACTACCGTCCCCACCACTGTCCCACTGTCCCCACCACTGTCCCGCTGCCCCCTCACCACTCTCCACACCACCACCGTCCCCACCACTGTCCGCACCACTGTCCCACTGTCCCCGCACCACTGTCCCCACCACCACCGTTCCCACCACTGTCCCAACATCCCCACCACCATTCTCCAACTGTCCCGAGGACCGGGCATCGTTTGCTGGCGGCGAAGGGGGGGGTTCGAACCGGTAGTGACCCCCCCTCGGTCTTGGAGAGGGGGGAGGGGGTGGTTCGAACCGGTAGTGACCCCCCCCCCCCTTTTCGAGGGGGGGGTGTCGAACCTGTAGTGACCCCACCCCCTTTTCATGATGAACTGGGGGGGGGGGGGGGGTCGAACCCGTAGTGACCCCTCCCCCACGTTTCGAAGGGGGCAAGGGGGGGGGCGGGCTAGGAACCCCCAATAACCCCCCCCCCGGTTTTCCGCCAGAAGCGGTAGAACACGCTCTTTCATATATATATATATATATATATGTATAAATATACATTATATATATGTATATACACACATGTATGCGTGCGTTACATTATCATCCTTGTTGTCCTCTGTGTCTTCGCTCTCCTCCTCCTCCTCCTCCTCCTCCTCCTCCTCCTCATCCTCCTTCTCCTTCTCCTCTCCCACCCACCGCCTGGCGGTGTTTATCAGATTCGTAGCAGCATGCCCGTTTCGTCTGTGTGTGTGTCCGTCGTTGTATCTGTCTGTGTGTCAGCCTACCTGTTCTGCTGAGGAACGGTGGTACCCCGCGCGTAGCGTGCAAGCTCTCTCCCTCTCTCTCTCTCTCTCTCTCTTTTCCATCTCCCTCTCCCTCTCTCTCTCTATCCCCCCTCTCCTCCCACTCTCTCTCTCGAAGGCTGGCGCGACATGAGGACCCACAGTCAAAGCTGCGAGGATCTGGGAATCGAAGATCCTGCCCGGGGGGCGATCTGTCCCCCAATCCTGGGCCCGCCTGACCTCGCCTCCCTCCTCGAGCCTCCCCCCTCCTCCTCCTCCATTCCTTCTCATCATGTATGACTGTCCTCTTCCTCCTCCTCCTCCTCCATTCCTCCTTCCTTCTCTTCCTCCTTCCTCCTCTTCCTCCTCCTCCTCCTCCTCCTCTTCCTCCTCCTCCATTCCTCCTCCTCCATTCTCCCTGTCGCACCCCGAGGCCAGTTTTAGGGCGGGGCGGGCGCTTCGCCTGAGACTTCCTCACCATGTATGACTCTGAAGCTCAAGAATCGACAACAGCTTCACGAATGGAGGGCGGTTCGTTTTCAAATGTGGCTCTCGCCTCAGCGCCGCGCACAGTCGGTGTAAAAAGTTGCAAAGAGTTCCACGGATTCAGGGCGGGTCGTTTTCAACATGCGGCTCTAGCGCCGCGCACATTCGTATAAAAAATGTGCACAAGCTTCACGAATTGAGGGCGGGTCGTTTTCAAAATGTGGCTCACGCCTCAGCATCGCGCACATGCGTTGTAAAAAATGCAAGGGTTTCACGGATTCAAGGCGGGTCGTTTTCAAAATGTGGCTCTCGCCTCAGCGCCGCGCACATTCGTTGCACAAAAATGCAAAGAGTTCCACTGCTTCAGGGCGGGTCGTTTTCAATATGTGGCTCTCGTCTGAGCGCCGCGCACATTCGTTGTCGAAAATTGCGAGGAGTTCCACGGATTCAGGGCGGGTCGTTTTCAAAATGTGGTTCTCGCCTCAGCGCCGCGCTTCGTTGTACAAAATTGCAGGGGGGGGTCCACGGGTTCAGGGCGGGTCGTTTTCAAAATGTGGCTCACGCCTCAGCATCGCGCACATTCGTTAGAACAAAAAACACGAAATTCACGGATTGAGGGCGGGTCGTTTTCAAAAAAACACATTCGTTCAAAAAAACGTGCAAGCGCTTCACGGATTGAGGGCGGCAACTTTTCAAAATGTGACTCGCGCCTTAGCGCCGCACCCATTGGTCTATAAAATGTGCCAGGGTCCCACGGATTCCCATGATCAACGTACCAGTAATCGTGTTTGGGACGGATTCAGGATTATGCTGGTGCAACAGTTACTTTGATTCGCGGTGTTAAAGTTCCAGGAATGGCGTTCTGGCACGATTCAGCATCATCAAGACGCAACAATCAGGTTCATCCGTGGCGTTGGAAACCCGAGAACCATTTTTTGGCCTGCTTCAGGGTCTTCAAACTTTTGTCTTCCAACGAGGCAGTTCCCTCAATGGAAATGAACCGTTGTAGGGGCCTATGAAGAGAGAGCTTGGAGGGAGGGTTCATTCAAACATCGTTGATGACTCGTGGGTTTACACTCCTCCTCCTCCTCCTCATCCTCCTCCTCCTCCTCAGCCTCATCCTCCTCCTCCTCCTCCTCCGCCTCCTCCTCCCCTGCCCCCCCTCCTCCTCCCCCTCCTCCTCCTCCCCTCCTCATCCTCCTTCTCCTCCTCCTCCTCCTCCTCCTCCCCCTCCTCCTCCTCCTCCTCCTCCTCGCCCTCCTCCTCTTGATCCTCTTGCTCCCCTCTCCCCTCCTTCTCCCTCTCCTCCTCCCCCTCCTCCTCCTGCTCCTCCTCCACCCCCTCCACCCCCTCCTTCCCTCCTCCCCCATCCTCCCCCCTCCCACCTCCTGCCTCTCCCATCCTTGTCGCACGCCTGAGGTGTATGCGGAAAACACGGTTGCCCAAAACCAGCAGCGGCCGCAGTGGGGCAGGCCACTGTTTGTCTCGAACGGACCACGTGCGCAGCGACACAGGCGGCGACTCCGGTTCATCATGGGCAGAAACTGCTAAGGGTCTTCGTCCCCATTCTTTCGAAACTATCCATTTCGATCGCACCTGTCCTCCGTCCTCCTGTCATCCTCCAGGAGGCCGGTCGGACGAACAGCGCGCCAGCGGCGGCGGGGATAATTCTCCAGCTTCACGTCGCAGTGGGCAATGCTCTGGCCGCCCCCAGGAAGCGAGCTCGGAGGGGGCGGGGCACGCTTAAGCGCCCTCGGCCCCTACGATGGGGGTCTTCGCTGACTCGGCTAAGGCAGGAGAAGGAAGCCCTTCGTCACAGGACATCCGTCGTCCCCCCCGGCATTATCGTTCCCATCTTATGGGACGCACAAGGACATGCTAGTACTATGTGCCCTCCTCGGAGGCGCCTGCCGATCCGAACATATAGTACAATCATATTATAGTAGATCGTCTCCCAAGCGGTATGGCCAGAAAACGCTCGCCACGGAGCTGAAACTATTGTATAAGAGGTCTCGGCGCGCGCGTCGCTCTTGCGGGGCAGACGCACACAAACACACACACACACACACACACACACACACACACACACGCGCGCACGCACGCACACGCACACGCACACGCACACGCACACGCACACGCACACGCACACGCACACACACACACACACAAGCTTCGTATGTTTCAGCGGTGCCGACCTTTAACTCCCTCACTCGCGTTTCCCGCTGGTTACCGCAGTTCGCCTGGTGAGAGATATCTTCCACCCTCCCCTCTGGCGAAGGCCGAGGAATGAGAGCACCGATGGCGCCCGTCCTGATGGACAACATCGCCACCAGAGCCAGCGAAATTGGACCCATCTTGCGCATGCGGTTGTCCCTTTTCGTGAGGCTGGAAGGCCCTGGTAAGGCCCAGGGAGGCTACTCGGACGCTCCAGGAGGCCCCGTTCGAAGAGGCATGCGAGGGTCCAAAGAGGCGCCTGGAGGTCCCTTGAAAAAGTCAGGCAGGCCCCTTGAAGCATCCGGGAGGCTGCAGGAAGGGTTCAGGTGGAGGGGGAGGAGAAGGGGGAGGAGGTGGAGGGGTAGGATGAGGAGGAGGAGGAGGAGGGAAGGAGGAGGAGGAGGAGGAGGAGGAGGAGGAGAGCGAGGAGGAGGAGGAGGAGGAGGAGGGGGAGGAGGAGGTTCGGGTGACAGGAGGACGAGCTCTTAAAGCAGGATGAATGGGTTTTCAGGCGGGGCTAAGCCAGATCAAACCAAGCACTAAGCCACATTGAGCCCGCAACTCAGCAATCCGAAGTGGGCCAGATGAACATCAAGGAAAAACCAGTGCCAATGCAGAATTCAAACTGCCAGCATTTGCAGCCCAAAAACCATCAACCCCCGACACCCTGAAAAACTCAAGACGCGAGTGCTTCCCACGGTTGATCCCTGGTAGCCGCTATCGGTCTCCTGGACCGTACAGACAGAGACGGCTGGGTGCCGCAAAACGGCCCTGGCAGAGGGGTCGAGAAGTTCGGGACCCCATATCGAGTCGATATGGGGTCCCCGAACCTCTAGACCCCTCTGCCAGGGGTCGAGAGGTTCGGCCCTGCTTATCAGCAGAGATCTGCCTATACGGTCAACAAACATTTGCTGGTATGGGCTCTCGAACCCTTCGATGATGACAGACATCGTGGGCCTAGCCTTATGTTCTTGCCATCACACTCAAGGACCACATCCCAGAAATAATTTCGAGCACCCAGAAAATACAGAAACAGTGTCTGACCGACACGCTGGCGAAGTGTGGAACGAGCATCGCTTCCCCAGGGCCCGACACATGAAGACCCTCCAGCTCCGATACGTCCTTGCAGCTCGAGATTCTTCCTGGTGACCCAGGCCAAAGTGGCTTGGAGCGTCATGATCGGGTGTTGCTGCAAGTGCCACTGGCCTAAGGTGCCCCCAGCTTTTCGCTCCATTTTGGAACCCATGGGGCCCTCTGGGCCTCGTGAGGGGTGCCCTGGAGGCCGTCTGGGCCACCCCGAGAATCCGGGGGATACCTTGGGATAGGGGTACTTCTATAGGGGGCAAACAAACCTACCTCGCTTTTGACCACCCTCGCTTCCAAGAGATACCAAGCGAGGCCACACTACGGCCTACACTGGTCAGGCCGCTTGCCGAGGAGACGCGTGGTATGACTTGGTTTCGCCTGGAAGCGAAAGCGGGGTAGGTAATTCACGCTCTGATTCTAGCAACACCCGACATAAGCCCAGTCAGGACACATCCGAGGCCTGGGCTCCTACGAACCTCGGACCCCAGCGCCACGAGACAGCCACGACGGGCAGGGGAGTGCCCTCGGGCACCAGACGATCAACCGACCGTCGGTGCCCCCTGTGCTGCCGGGGGCCTCCCGGAACCCTTGGAGCCGTCCAGGGACCTCCAGAGACCTCTTTGGCAACTCGCGGGAGCCTCCCCTACCAGCTTGTCGGCTCTTTCGAATCGACGCCAGTCGACGCCAAATCGACACTCATCGACGCTAGATGGACGCTAGTCGGCGCTGACCGGCGCTAAATCGGCGCTATCTCACCGACTCCCAAACGCTAAGCGACGCTAGCGAGAGAGACCTCGGGAAACCTCGACCCTAGGCGTCGCGAAGAAAAGCATTACGGACACGTCTTCCGCGACGGGCACGGGACCCTCACGGAGCGATCTGGATCGAAAATGTCGAGGGCTCTGGTCGCGATGTCTCACGCCCTTATGATATTCTTACGACGTCGCATCTCTCATGAGGCCCTCCTGGGGAGGGGGGATAGCTGGCTGCAGGAGGATCAAACGAGGGAGGAGAAGAAGGAGGCGAGGAGAGGGGGAGCAGTTAGGGAACACAGGCAGACGTACGCGCCAAGCCACGTGCACACAACAATGATCTCCAGCTTGCGTGGCCGCCCTCATGTCAAGAACGCCCGCACAACGCGTTCTCTCGAAACAAATGTGAACTCATGTACTCGTGCGTCTGTGTTTCGCTCATGATAGAGAGAAGGAGACGCACCACCACACCACCACCACTACCTGGAGTATGCAGGCAGAGGGTGGTCAGGGGTGGTGGTGGTGTATATCATTTCGGTTGCTCTCGCGGGACATCGTGCAAACACGCATCCCGCACTGCAGCTCATCCCGACCCCCCCACGTGGTGGTGGTGGTGGTGGTGGTGGTGGTGGTGGTGGTGATGGTGGTGGTGGTGGTGGTGGTGGTGGTGGTGGTGGTGGTGGTGGTGGTGCTGGTGGTGCTGGTGGTGGTGCTGGTGGTGCTGGTGGTGCTGGTGGTGCTGGTGGTGGTGGTGGTGGTGCTGCTGGTGCTGGTGGTGCTGGTGGTGCTGGTGGTGCTGGTGGTGCTGGTGGTGCTGGTGGTGCTGGTGGTGGTGGTGGTGGTGCTGCTGCTGCTGGTGGTGGTGCTGGTGCTGGTGGTGCTGGTGGTGCTGGTGGTGCTGGTGGTGGCGGTGGTGCTGGTGGTGGCGGTGGTGCGCTTTCTGCCCCCAAACCCGAGTGGACTGGGGGGCAAGATGATGCTGACACCACTGCCTCTCTCGGGGCCTCTCGCGGGGCACGCCTCCGAGGCCAACCTGGCCGCGGCGATGGAGGGCCCCCGCGGGAGGCCCACCATTGCAGGAAGCGAGAAGTGCAGGAGGAGAACAAGGGGCAGTGACGAGGGAGAGGATAACGACGACGACGACGACGACGACGACGACGACGACGACGACGACGACGACGAGAGGAACTGGGAGGGGGGGTGGAGGGAGACAACGACGAGGACGAGGGGGACGATGAAACGAAGAAGAGACCCGGGGAGACCCGGTCAGCCCCGCCCCCACCACGACCTCGCCCCTGGGCTGTGGAGGTAGCTCAGCGGCAGAAGCATGCGCTCCGCGGTCGCGGCGGCGTCCTTCGCAGCAGTTGGGGGGGCGCACGGCTGCCACTTCGCTCCGCCCAGCACGACGGAGGAAGAACAGCACAGAGAATCCCATCTCGTGACCTGCACGAGCGACAAAAGCAAAAGATGGCGGGGCGAGGAAACAGCTCGAACGCATACAAAATCGAAGAGCACATCAACGCAAGTCCCAGGGAGGCGGCACGCGAGTCGGCTTCGAGCTCTCGCCCTGAAACACTGCACTGGACATAGCCCACGGGGGCATGAAGTCACTCACCCGCAAACTGGTAACTCACGGTGTTATTCCAAAAAGCTGTGGTTGTGTTAACCCCTTCCCCATGGATGTTTGAGGCGCACTGGGGTAGAAACTATAGCGCGCTGAAACAATGTCGTCTTGCGCGTAGGAAGCGAACACAACAAGAGTGCTTCGGCGACTCACGCAATGCGGTACATACGTGACATGACGAATCCAAGCTTTCAGTGCGTTGTTCCAATCAACCGACCCTGCCGGCATGTGGAAGACCCTGTTCTGTCTGACTCTGCGGCGTCGGCGGCGGCGTCGTCGGCGTCGGCGTCGGCGTCGGCGTCGGCGTCGGCGTCGGCGTCGGCGTCGGCGTCGGCGTCGGCGTTGTCGTCGGCGTCGGCGTCGGCGTCGGCGTCGGCGGCGGCGGCGGCGGCGTCGGCGGCGGCGTCGGCGTCGGCGTCGGTGTCGGCGTCGGCGTCGGCGTCGGCGTCGTCGTCGTCGGCGTCGTCGTCGGCGTCGGCGTCGTCGCGGTCGTCGTCGTCGCCGTCGCCGCGTTTGACCCTCCTTTCCCTGGGCCCGTCGCTGCTCCACCTCTTTTACTGGGCCCTCCTCCTCAAGCGAGCCAGCCAAAGTGAAACCAAAGCGACATTGAGCAACCTCGTAGTTGAGTAGAAGGGAAGCCCCTTCCCTTTGATCCCTTCCCGCCCCCTGCGGATGTTCGGGGGCGGCCAAGAGGGGGGCGTCCAAGAGGGGGGGGCGCAAATCATAGCCAGCTGCATGTGCGCGGCCCAGGGGGGGGCCAGGAACGTAATGACATAAGAAGAGGCGCCATGAAATCTGAGGGAATATCATGGCCCACGCCATGATATCCACCCCCCCTAATTAGTCATCACCCTCCTCTTTGCCGCCCCCGAGAGGTGCGGGGGCGGGGTCCTCGGGGAGGTCCCGGGGGGGGCTCTGGGAGGGGTCCCGGGGGGGTCCTGGGGGGAGGCCCCCGGGGGATCTTGGGAGGGGTCCTGGGTCAGGACCTACGCTGGGGGGTCCTGGGGCCCCAAGAAGGAGCCAAAAAAGACCCCAAGACAGCCGAAGAGGCCCCCAAGACGATCCAGAGGGCCACGAATCGCTGAACAATCGGTCCAAGTCACCAAAGATGGCCTCCTGACAGCTCGAGCGGCTTCCCAGACGCTCGAAGAGGCCTCCAAGAAAACACCAAGAGGGCCCCAACAATTAAAATCAAATGATTGTCTATAGGATGTTTGAAATATTCTGGCGGTCTCGATTTTTCTGCTTCCCGACGCCCCAAGACGGCACAAGATGCTACCAAGATCGGCACAAGAGGCCCCCAAGAGGTTTCCAAGACGGCCCCGAAACATCCCAAAAGGGCCCCAAGATGGCCCTAGAGGCCTCCCGACAGCCCAAGAGGCCCCCAAAACGGCTCCAAGAGGGTGCCCACACGAGAGCCAAAACGGACATTTCGAGCCCTCGGCCCCGAGAAGCTCCCAGGAGGTCCCAAGAGGCCACCAAGAGGCTCCCACGAGGCCCCAAAAGGCCCCCAAGAGGTTCCCAGGAAGCCAAAAAGGACCCGGTAGAGGCTTCCAAGAGGCCCGCAAGATGCTCCCAAGAGACTCCAAAACTGCCCCCCAGAGGCCTACGAGTGCGCTCCGAAGAGGCCCCACGAAGCATCACTGAGATGGTTGGCCCGCGTCAACGTTGTCGTCGCCACCGACGCCGCCGTCGTGGTCGTCGTCTCCATTCAGGGTTGGCGGCACCGACCGCGAAGCCTTCCCAATAGCAGCCGCGTTCGGTTTACAGGCAGCCCGAAACAATAGAATGGGATTGGAATAGCTTCTGCGAAGCCACCGCTAAGTTAACCTTTTGTTATTCGGCGATTCATCATTGGGCGGAGGGGGGGAGGTCTGGCTCCGAACATCTGCTCAGTGCGACTGTTTGCAGCAGTGCGTCCTTATGGGGGAGACTCCAGCTGCCTGAAACAGGCGCCGAAAACAGCCCGGATCTACTCCATGGGTGAGGGGGAGGGGGGGATGCGAGGGCCCGCGCCGATCGGCAAAACAATGAATAAGAGAACGACGACATGAGGAGTCCCAGCGACATCGTGCGTCATGTCGTGCGCGACGTGCGTGCCGGGCTGCGCGTGCGAACGATGGGCCGCCAGGCGGAACGAGTCAGCGCACAGCGGGGGATCGGGGCGTCGCGAGATCAATGTGTCACTGTGGTGTGGAAGCGCAGCGTGGACACGCTACAGTCGACCCGTTTAGTAAGGATGCGCGATCAGGATGCAAGGGTCTTGGACGCCCATGTCAAAGCTTTTCGAGCGGGGCGCCGCCAACGAAAGTGGCCAAGGATGGACCGAGGAAGCAAGAATGCAAGGGTACCCTTTGGAAAGTTGCCCATCCTTACTATGCGGGTTGACTGTATAGTGTCGTAGCGCCACACCGTGATCGCTGGATACATCTGGAAACGATTGTGGTAGTATTTTCAACCACTCGTGATGTCCAGGCTCATGACTTGCGAATATATGTCTGCTGTTTTAAATGAAGTTCAAACTGGTGACGGATAAATCGTTGATCATGTGCGGTGGACTTGGCTGGCAAATGCGACGACAAACTGTGAGCCCATTGCCGTGGTGTCGCGGTGGCATGGCGAGGGGTGCCATGGTGTCCACGCGTCCACGCGCCATACGGTAGGAGCTCGACTTCAAGAAACCGTCGACAAGAACCCTAACCCTGAGACCCCAGGACGTCCGTCGACTGTTGGTGTGGGGACGTCACGAGTTCCATCGCAAATCCATCGAAACCCAAGAAGCCCAGGACATTTCTTGGCATGATGTTTCTTGGCATGGGTTCCACTGTATATACAAACAACACAACTGTTGGAGATCCGCGCGGAGCTCTCCTGGTGTGTAGTGATATCCCTTTATTCAATCAAAAGATTCGCCATCGCTCGGACGTCCATACCCCGTGCATTTGTTTCGTTTCGTGCGTGCATTCCCGCAAGATGATCCAGGATGCTCCTCGATGGTCCTCGCCAAAAAAGATGCACACGTCCGGGCGATGCCAAGAAGATCGATCATCATTCACCACCGTTCATCACCATCACCGGGGTGGGCTTCGTCACCGTCGGCATCATCAGCCCCTCCCTCCCACTGGCCATCCTTCTCTGAGAACACCTCCCTCTCGATCACCCGGTCGAATAATTCACCGCCCTCCATGCATTCCATAACCAGGATCAACTCCTGCTCAACCTCGCAGGGCGCGGATGACGAGGGCGCATGAGCGACTGAGGCCAGTGGCGAGGAGAGAACTTCCAAAAGACGTAAAAGCCCACGCCCGATTTCGGCCTTGTTACGAATTCAAAATCCCCAGCCAGCGCCCAAGACGCTTTCTAGCTGCAGGCTCGCAGCGAACATGGGTTCGCTGCCTGGCTACAGATGTCTATTATTGCCAGATGTCCTGCGCAGTTGGGTCCTCGCCTTCTCTGCGCACCGCTGCGCATCCACCCCGAACAGTATTCACGCTGGCTGACAAAGCACATGCAAGAATCACGAAGAACGCCAAGGATCGTAATGAACAAGCTGCCTTGACACGGAATGCACGCGCTGCCACGCCAGCTGGCGGAGCAATCGCAAGAAAAGCAACTAAATACGGATGAATGGGAGAGAACAAAACACCTTGAAACCGTGCACACGCTGTCACGTCTTCTGGCGAAGCACGTGCAGGAGGAACGAGAAATGCCAGACAAAGGACGGAGAGAAAACTCCTTTGACACGGAATGCACGCCGTGTCATGCTGGCAGAGCATGTGCAAGAGGCAGGAGGAGCCATCAGTCCCACCGGTCCTGTGGAGCGTACGTGCTTTGGGGGGATTCCTGTTCCATCACCCCGTCTTCTCCATTCGGGGGGAGTTTTTCACTGTTCCCCATTAACTATTTAGCACCTCCTCCCCCAGGCGACCGGCAGCCAACCAGGACCAACGAGGACCCCCCCAACCATGTCTGTCAAAAAACAATGTGAAACCACTTTGGAGCACTTTGCATTGTTCTGTGACGAGGACGGCCGGGATGCCCGCACATTGCCTGTTGCGCGCAAGACCAGCAAAAAAAAACAATGCAAAATGCACTCCCAGGCAAAATCTGGATCATGCGCGGGCACCCCGAGATCCCGGTGCATCACTTTTTGACTGGGACGGAGGGGGTGCTTGCATATTGCCTGGTGTCTGCAAGCCCACCAAACACTACGACGGCCACCCCACCGCGATTGCGCACTTGTTTTCGACAAGGATGGTGGGGGCAGGCACGTTTCCCGATGTGCACTGCCACGTGCGCAAACGCACCTGGCACGCTCTGCGCGCACCCCGCACGTGGCGCACCTGGCGCAGCTGGAGCATGCGGCACACATGGCGCACGTGGATCACGTGGCGCATCTGGCGCACCAAGCGTGCCTGGCACGCTTGGGCCACAGGGGTGCTTGTCGCACCTGACGCGCGCGGCACGCCTGGCCACGTATGACCCTGAAGCCTGGAAACTGGCGACAGTTTTACAGATGGAGGGCGGGTCGCCCCCAAAATGTGGCTCTCGCCTTCGCGCCGCGTACTTCATTCTACAAGATTGCAAGGAATGGTGGATGTCTCAGGCGACACATCAACAGCAGCAAGCCTATGCACCCACGACGGCCTAAGACGGCCTCAATGAACAGCGCAGCAACCTGCAACACCATTAGCTGGCAAATAACTACCGCCAACGCGGCAGTGCGGGGCGCCGCGGCTCTTATTCGAACACCGGGGCGGGCCAACAAAGAAACACGGGCCAGGCAAGGGGCAAAAACGGGCAGCGAGGAGCCGAGGAGGGGGGAGGGGAGGGGGAAGGGGAGAAAGGACGACCAGGAAGGACAGACCGGGCCGACAGACGGACGGACGGGGGAACGGGGAGGGGAAGCCGAGCAAGCAGGGAGAAGGAGAGCACACCACGCACAAAGGCAAGGAAAGACAAGGGGAAGGCGGGGACACGGAGAGGGAGAGGGGGAAGGAAGAGGGGGGGAAACCGGGAGCCGAAGAAGACAGGAGAGGGAAGGAGAGAAGGGGAGCAGGAGGAGCCGCGGGCCGGGGCCAAGGCAAGGAAGAAGGCGGGCCGAGAAGCACACCAGAGGCCACACAACACCCCAACAACACAAGACACACAAAAGTTCAACTGCGACTATGAATGGAGCAGGGCCCTGGCCGCATCAGCAACCTCCGGGGCGACGGTCGCCGTGCCCGGGGCCCGCTTCAGCACCGCCTGGGCGTTGGCCCGCCGAACGGCGACGCTCAAGCCTTCCAAGTACTCCTGCATGTGCAGGCTCGCCGCCTTGCCATCTCTGGCCTGAGCTTTGCGTGCGAGCTGCTGCAGAACTTGGATGCCCGAGGCCCCCCAGGTCTCCGGAACGTTCGGCGACCATTGGCACGAAGGCGATCCCCTGCTGGGAGCAGTGCGCCTCCGTGTTGAGGTAGGACCGCTTGTAGTCCTCGTAGAGCTGCGCTGCCGACACGGCGACCTCGCTCGCCTGCTGGAGGGCAGCCTGCCGCTGCGGCGACGTGATGGCCAGGTCTACGGCGGCTGGGGACCCGCCGCGCCAAGAAGGCAAGAACACGTCTGCCGGGCGACGCAAGCCCGGGTCGGCCGCATCGTCCGGCAGCGGCGGGAAGAGGTGGCCCCTTTCCAGGTCCGGCCAGCATCCCGCGGAAGCGGCGTAGAAGTACGTCAAGTTCCGGGCCGCGTGGTGCGCCGCGCTCTTGTCCCCGCCGCAAGTGCAGACCGAGCAGTGGAAACCGTGCACGTCCAGCACGCTGTCGCACAGGGGGCAGTAATCCTCCTCGTGAAAGACCTCCGCGGCCAGACGGCACGGATTGAGAATTGCAAGAATTTCACGGATTGAGAGCGGGTGGTTTTCAAAATGTGGCTCTCGCCCTGGCGCCGCGCACAATCCCGTTGTCAATGTGCAAGAGATTCACGGATGGAGGGCGGGTGGTTTTCCAAACGTGGCTCTCGCCTGAGCGCCGCGCACACTCGTGCAACAAAAATGAAAGAGCTGAACGGATTGAGGGCGGGTGGTTGTCAAAATGTTGCTCTCGCCTTAGCGCCGCGCACCTTCGCTTCAAACATGTGCAGAAGTTTCACGGATTGAGGGCCGTCTTCAAACTGTAAATCTCGCCTTAGCGCCGCGCGCATTCGGTGTACAACGTTGTCAGGGTTTCACGGCTTCCCATGGTCAACTGGTTCGCAGTGTTGGAGCCCCCGGAATGGTGGTCTGGCAGGATTCTGGATCATCAAGACGCAACAGTCGCGTTGATTCGTGGCGTTGGAGTGCCGAGAATGATGTTTTGGCACGCCTCAGGGTCTTCAAACAGTTCTCTTCCAACGAGGCCTCTCCCTTCTATGGAAAATGAACCCTTGTATAGGGGTCTGTGACGGGGGAGCTTGGAGGGAGGATGTGTTCTTATGTTGCTACCAGAAAGTATTTCGAACACCCAGGAAAAGTATCGGAACAGTGTCGAACGAGTATCGCCTCCCGGGGCCCGACTCATGAAAACTCTCCAGTTTCGTTACGTTCCTGGTACTCGAAATTCTTTCTGGTGGTCCAGGCTACAGTAGATTGGAACATCCTAAGTTGATTCAAGCATCATTGATGACTCTTGGGTTTCCATTGGTCCTCCTGAAGGTCACTCTAATACAGAAAGAATCGTCATCTTCCTCATCATAATACTACTCCTCCCTCCGCCTACTCCTCCTACCTCCTCCTCATGCTCTCATCCTCCTCTCCTCAGCCTCCTCCCCCTTCCCAATCCTCCTCCACTACCCACTCCACCCCACCTCCCCCTCCCCCTCCCCCCCCCCCGCCCCATTCCCCCTCTCCCCCCTCCCTGCCCCTCTCCCCGCCCCCCCCCCCCCACCCCCCCCCCCCCCCCCCCCCCCTCCTCCTCCGCCTACCCCTCCTCCTCCTCCTCCGCCTCCTGCTGCTCCTCCTCCTCCTCCTCTTCTTCTTATTATTATTATTCTTATGCTTCTTATTATTCTTATTCTTAGAATTATTAGTAGTATTAGTTTTATTCTCCTTATTGCTATTATTATGATTATTATTAGTATGATTAGTATTCTTCTTATCAGTGTTGTTATTCTTCTTCTTGACATTATCATTAGTGTCCTTATTATGCTTCTGGATACTCTTCTTCTTCGTATGCCCATTAGTATTCGTATTATTATTCGTATTCGTCATATTCGTCTACGTCTTCTTATTATTAGTATTAGCATGAGTCGTCTTATTATGTTGTGTCTTCTTCATGTTATTGTGATGATTAGTATTGTTATTCTTATTATAAGTATTACTATTAGTAGTATTCGTATTGTTCGTGTTATTATTATTATTATTCTTATTCGTAGTATTATGATTCGTCATATTATTTTCTTATTGTTATTATTACTAACATTATTATTAGTATTAGTATTATTAGTTTTATTATTATTGGGATTCGTATTATTCTTAGTATTCCTATTATTCCTCTGCTTAGTCGTATTAGTATGTTTCTTCTTATTCTTATTATTAGTAGTATTAGTATTCGTGTTCTTCGTACGATTATTATTATTATTCTTGTTCGTCTTCTTAGTATTATGATTATGAGTATTATTGTTCGTCTTATTCTCCTTCTTCTTCGTCGTCGTCTTCTTATCATTCGTCTTATTATGCTTATTCTTCCTCCTCCTCCTCCTTCTCCTCCTACTCCACCTCCTCCTCCTCCTCCTCCGCCTCGTCCTCCTCCTCCTCCTCCGCCTCCTCCGCCTCCTCCGCCTCCTCCGCCTCCTCCGCCTCCTCCTTCTCCTCCTCATCCTCCTCCTCCTCCTCCTCCTCCTCATCATCATCATCATCAGCATCCTCATCATCATCATCATCGTCATCAGCATTATAATCATCAGCATCATCATCAGCATCAGCATCAGCATCATCATCATCAGCATCATCATCATCATCATCATCATCATCATCATCATCATCATCATCATCATCACCATCATCACCATCATCCTCATCATCATCATCATCATCATCAGCATCATCATCACCATCACCATCACCATCACCACCACCACCATCATCATCATCATCAGCATCAGCATCAGCATCAGCATCAGAATCATCATCACCACCACCATCATCATCAGCATCAGCATCAGCATCAGCAGCAGCAGCATCATCATCATCAGCATCAGCATCAGCAT